CGACCTTTTGTGGACTGGACCTCTAGTTCTCTGCCACCAAGGTCGTACCGCTAGGTACGTTGGCCTCGCCCTCGTCGTCGTACTCGTCGTCCTCGAAGATGCTGCTTCCTTCGGCGCTGGCACCGTTGATCGTGGGCGACATGCGCGTCCGGATTGCGGGCACGTACTGCGCCAGCGTCATATCCTCTGAGTGTGAGGCAAAGGGGATCTTGCAGAAGCCGTGGCCGCCGCGGGTCTTGCAGTCGATCTGCTGGCACACATGACCCTTTGTACATTTGGCGTCGCGACAGGCGCCGCGCCGACTGCAGGGAGTCGACCGCGCCAGGGTCTCGAGGGCGGCCTTTAGCTCGTCCTCGATCGCACTGTGGTCGTATTCGCAGTTGTCTCCCGCGGGGCAGTACCCGTTGAGATGAAAGTTGTTGCAGACCCGGACGCGGCGGGTGCGCGTGTTGAGCCTGCTGATGGCTTCGTTGGTTGACGTTGGTACGTAGGGGTCCAGACGAAAGCCATTCTTATTGACAGCGACGTGGCCCTCGGGCACGCTGTCTTTAGCCGGGAGATTCTTGATGGCTGCCGCTATCGCGGAGCTGTCCGGTCTCGCCGAGTCTCTCCAGGAAGAGGAGGACATGGTGGACTGGCTGTTGGTAGGGTTGCCGGTGGTCGTGGCAGCCTTCCTCGGGTCGTCTCCATGCAAGTACCGGCAATGAGCGCCGAACTTGCACTTGCCGAGAGGGAAGGTCTGACAGAGGATCTTCTTTCGCGACTGGGCGGCGGCGGTGGGCATGGCAGACGACGATGACGAAGATGACAACAAAGTCGGTGATGTCCCAGCCAGCGGGCCACGGGGCGCCTCGGTCGGGGCGGCAGCATTATTATTGCTGTTGTGGTTATTGTTGTTCGGCGGGCGGTACGCAGTGGCGAGGTCGAGCGGCGAGTTGCGGAAGACGCCCGGGAAGTGTTCAATGCCCATACCGAGCTTGGTAAACTCCTTCTGGAAGCGGATGCAGTGGGCATCGATGAGGGTGAAGCGTCTTGTGTTGCCCGTGTGCGGGGTCAGGTCGGAGATGTAGCCAACGTCATGGCAGGCGGCAAAGTAGATGTGCTTACACTGCCCATTCTCAGCATAGAGGCTGAGCAGGGCACGCAGCTTGAAGTCGGCGTTCTCCTTGAGCTCGCCAGCGTCGACGAACTCAGTCAGGCCATATGACCTGTTGAAGCTGGCTATGAAGGGTGCTAGGGAACGCTTTTCGGCACCGACGGAGCCGCCGGCCTTGTTGAGGGCTTTGGACAGGCCGGCGACGTTGGCGTAGATGCGCACCATGACCTGGCAGTGCTCGAGACCCTTCTTACGCAGGCTGGCGCGCACGGCATCATTGAGCACCTGGGCAGCGGTACTGCCGGCATCGGGTCCTCGTCCGACTAGGTCCTCGTTGAAGACGTAGCCGTCGCCATCAACCAGAACCAGGACGAAGGGGTTCCTCTCCTGGCTCTTGGCCACCTGCTTGTATTTCTCTCGGGCATCGCGCTCTTCCTCGTAGTCGGACTTGAGTCGTCTGTATTCCTGTATCAGGGCCGAGTAGTTGTCCAGGATATCGGACAGGGTGTCGTTGGCGCGGTAGGCGGCGAGCTGTCCCGCATCGCGGTCGATTTCGCCATCGTTCAACATGTCGTGTCTCGGTCGTGCGGCACCAGCGCCACAAGCTCGAGCTGTTGTGGGGGGGGAAGCAATGTGTCAGTCTTGGTGTCTCTGTCTCTGGTCGGGGCTGTTTGTCACCATCGCAGCTTCGGACTGCGCGGGAGAAGAGCTGCCCATCGTACCTATAAGTTGAGGGGAAGCTCTGGTGATTGCTTAAGCGGGCCGATGCTAGCAATCAAGCATCCAGACACACCGTAGAGGTCGTGTCGACGGCCGCTGCTCTTGGGTGTTGGAGGTGCTTGGGCATGCAAACGATTGAGACAAAAAAGTTCTGGCCCGGACCCCAGATCGTAGTGTTGCTGCCCGGAGTTTTGGTCCAGATCCATAATTCCCCCGGTGCCGCTTGACCTGCAGATGTGGGGTTGCTGACCTAACTGTTCCCTGCACGGGCGGGCAGTGAATGGCGGGAGGGGGCACGGCCAGTGATCTTCAGGGCCCTGGGGTGCAGGGCTGACTGCTGAAAGGCCTGGAGCCGGCAGCCGAAGATGGAGACATGCTCCTGGGCTGTCTTTGCTCAAAAGAAACCTTCCCATCCCACATGCCCCCCCTTTTGGTCCTCCAAACTCCCACTGCCGGTATCTGCTTGTCTTGTTTGCCAAGCAAGCCGACTCAAGAAATGTCAGCTCTACCTCAATCGTCAAACCGCTCCAAGCCAAAGAAACGGTTGACAAACGGCTTTGGCCCGGCCTCAGAAACCTGAAGCGATGGCCACCAGCTCGACATGACCACCAGACGCAGCAACCAAGAAGAATACCCTCACCGCCATCAGACTGCCCCCGATGGGCACCTCTCCTCCATCAAACCCGTCATCCGGCGGTGTTATCTCCGAGGGCCTCTGATGGCTACCAAAGCCCAGACCCACTGAATCGAACACCTGGAATTCCCCGCGAACGCCGTCATCGAACGGCGCCTGGGCTGATTCGTCTATTTCTCTGACGGCTCACCTAGCTGCCGGAACCAGTAGCGCTGGCATCTCTTTAGAGTTTGGTCTGTTTCGCCCACGGGTCCAGCCGGCCGGATGGGGAGAGACGTCCAAGACCCGACATCGACATTCCATGTTAAGGGAGACGGCCGGCTCATGGCCAGCCCTGTGCCTTCTTCTCGTTCTTCTCCCGTCCCTCCTGTATCCATTAAATTTTCAGATCAAGGGGAGGTCTCCTTCTCTGCGTCTGGAAGCTTGGTGCTCTCCCTACGTTTCCAGTGCCCGGTCCGAGCGCCACATACTCGACATCACCACCCTCACGCTCACATCCTACCCATGGCATCCACGAACGACGACTACGGGCGTGATCCGTCTATTCCCGCAAATGAAGTCCTTGCGATCGTTTCCTTCCTAGCCATCGCTTTTTACAATGTCATCGAGCTCAACGTCATGCTTCTGGCAACCTTTCGGAACCGCCGCAGCCTCTACTTCTGGAGTTTTGTCGTCGCAATCTGGGGCATTGCCGTCTGGTCCCTCGGCTTCCTGCTCAAGAACTTCCGCCTCACCAGCTCATCTTTACTCTACTCAATATTCATAGCCAGCGGGTGGTGTGCCATGGTCACCGGCCAATCCCTGGTTCTCTACTCTCGCCTGCATTTGCTTGTCTACAGACGTGCCGTTCTGCGCGCCGTCCTAGGGATGATCATCTTCAACGCCGTCACGCAACACATCCCTACCATGATTGTCGGCTTCGGCGCAAACTCAGCCGACCCGATGCGCTGGGTGCGCGTGTACCCATACTTTGAAAAGGTCAACGTCTCCGTCTTCTTCGCCCAAGAGATGGTTATATCGGCCATCTACGTCATCTACACCACCCGCTGGCTGCGGAGCGACGGCGCAGTCCTCAGCCAGGAGACGGGAAAGATGCTACGTCACCTGATCTGGATCAACCTTGTCATCGTTGTCCTCGACATCACCGTTCTGGCCCTCGAGTTTGCCGGCCACTACGATATGCAGACGGCCTACAAGGGCATGGCCTACAGCATCAAGCTGAAGCTCGAGTTCCAGATCCTCAACGATTTGGTCCGCATCACCAAAGCGAGCGCATACAACACCTCTCGCTTCGAAACGGGGACATTGGTCCACACCACCGAGCCTGCTGTGCGGGAGGTTGAAGATGCACAAAGGGACACACCACGGGAAGAGGTGCAGCAAACAAGGAAGGATTTGGAGGGGCGGCAAACTTGACATGACACATGGAGCAGCGAGAGCACGAATGATGAGAATACCCCTTTTGCTTCTTAGCGCTATGAGCCTTGATCTTCCGAGCCTAGTACACCATGATACTTGATTCTCTTCCAACGGAATGCCGCGCATTCCCAATCCCAAGTCACTGCTTTCCGTAAGCCAAAGTTATTCCAATTGTAACAAAAGAACTTACCATGCTTCACCGCTTGGAAGTTTCAATGAGTTGATAGACTTATGTAAAGAGATATCGTGGAGGCCAAGGCAGCTCTCCTCTGGGAGGTCTGCTGCTGGATGTCGAGCTCTGACGCACAGAGCCACTTCGACGCCCATTCATCCGCATCAAGTTCCTAAGGCTTTTTGTATCGAGCCAGAAAGACCATAGTGATGATGAAGCCAGCAGTGCCCATGATGACCACAGGCACAACCAGCCACCAGCGAAGTTGTTCCCTGTTCTTGATGCGTTCTTGGCGCGGCAGGCGGTAGTACGCCACGCATCTCGGGCAGTAGCATGGCACGTACGACCTGCGGCTCTCGCCTCGGGGTCCGTAGGGAGTGTTCATCTCGATGCTGGTTGATCAAAGTCAGCAGATATCTTTGTGAGGGAGGGCGCGCAGGAGGTGGGCTTACTCTTCGGGCGTCATGATTCAGCGTTGGGGGTGAAAGAGACGAGGCTTGAGTACGGTTTGGATGAAGTTCTGGGTCTCCAAGAGTTTGGCAGGAGTGCTGGGGGTAAAGAACTTCTGCTTAGTCGTCGAGATGTTCTGAAGGATCGATACCTCGCAGCCTGGCTGTGTGGTTCAGGGACGTTACAAGGGTCGGCGACAAGTCTTATATTCACCTTCGTTCACATCGAGTGGCACCTTCCGCATTCCACCCATGGGTTTTCCCGTTGCAGTCAGTTTTTGGCGTTCTCGATGACCTCCTTTTTTCTAGGGGCGTCGTTTTGGTTCATTCATCCCGTCCACCTCAATAGAGTCAGCCGCCGCAACCACATCACCTACCAAACCACGGCCTCGGCAGCTCTTTCGGTAGACAAAAGATCGAGTTGAACCTATGAATGCATCTTGGACAAGAGACAAAATCAAAACCACACAAGCAAAAATGTGGCCTGGACTCCATGTCCGACACCGCTCATGATTCAGGGGAGGCTCGAACTCCCGGCCTTCAGTGAAACTATCCGAGGATGTTAGACTGACGTGATAACCAACTACACCACCGAACCGGCTAGGCCTTTGATTTGGGTTGTGACGGGGCGGCGGGAGGGGACTTATGAGGGAAAAGCTTGGTGGATGGGGAAAGTTAGATCGGCGATGCGGGACCTCCTCACCCTTCTTGGTATGGACTCTCGGTACGAGATGGGGCAGACCCAGGCCGACCCCATCATCGACGGTGGCTCACAAGGTAAGGACGTACGTCAGAACACAAGGATTGAACATGAAGTCGTGACGAGTGTATTGAACAGCTAGGTGCAACCCTAAGGGGCTACCACTACACTCACGCACCACATGGTATAAAATCCAAAACCCATCCCTCACCTCAGCCCGCCCAGCCTGACGCACTTCTCAATCCATCCCTTCTGTTGCGTCTCAGGGGGCATCTCAGGCTGGTACTGTGGCCTCGAGACACCTCCACCCCAGCTTGCCCAGGTACTCTCAGTCCGTTCGGTCATGGCCATAGACGGGGCGCGCGGGTTGAAGGCGTTTTGCTGTTGCTGCTCCTGGTGCTCGCGATGGAACCACGAGCCTGAGTTGCGTGCGTAGGCGGAGACGGGCGACTGGTCCTGATCCGAGTAGTGGCTGGAGGCGACGCGGGCGGGGACGGCAAGAGGAGGCGGGACAAGAAGCTCCTTGTCGTCGTCGCCTGGCAGGTCGCGGGACTGGTAGGCAGAGGGGACGGCGGGGACGGGAGGAGCAGCGGCGGGAGGCGGTCCGTTGAGGTCGCGAGGCGTGACGGTGCCTGCGGTTGAGTAAATGCTTGCGCGACCGCTGACGGGATTGAGCTTGAGGGGGTTGTGACGGCGGACCCAGCTGGCGATGGACTCGCTCACGACGGGTTGGGCGACGGGAGCGGGCTGAAGGATGGGCAGCTGCTGGTTGGGGTCGTATCGCTTCTCGTCTAGGTAGCCTTGGGGAGTCTGGGCGTATTGCTGGTACGGGTCCTGCTGTCCGTTCTCGACGTCGTAGGCGGCTTCCATGAGCTCACCCATGAGGCTAGATGGGGAGCGGCGTAGCTGGTCCGGGGGTATGTTGGCCTGCTGCATGGATCGCGGGTCGACGGGGGGATTCTGCGTCGAAGCGAGGGACGGATTCTGGGAGGCACGCTTCTTCTTCCTGCTGCGGCGGCAGAGCCACCAGATGCCAACGCCGATGCAGAGGACGATGGACGCGGCGCCTGGGAAGTGTGAGTAGGGAGCGGAGGAGGAGAGGCCATGGGAGGACACGCACCGACTACACCAAAGGCGATACCCATCTTGGGATCCTGGGCTTGCCTCATGGGGTCGATCCCATCTTGGGCAACAGGCCTCGACGTGATACCACTTGGGCTTGCGCCATCGAGCTGGGTGTCGGAGTCGCTGGAGCCCGTTGCGCCGGCAGGGAAGCTCGACGAGGTGGGCGACGGGGAGTCAATCTCGCCCTCCGAGTCCGACTCGCTATCCGACACGTCTTCCGCAGGCGGCTGGGAGGTGCTCTGGCGAAGCTTGAGAGCCCTGGGGCGGAACTTGCGAGTGAGCGTCGGCCTGTCCACCATTGTCAGTCAGTCCGTGGCCACACAGAGGACGTCTCATCGCAGGCAACGCACCTCTTCGGGACGAAGCGAAGACCGAGAGGCTCCTGGACCCATTCCCCTTCCATGGTGTTGATCGGCGGCGACATGGTACTCTGCGGGCGTTGAAAGCTGAAAAGGTCGGCGAAGGGTGTTAAAACTTCAGACCAGCTGTTGGGCGCGGGGAACAGAGAAAATAAGGTCGAGGGCGGAGTGGGAGTGAAGAGAAACGAAAGGAGGGCACAGCCCGGTTGGTGACAAGAAACGAACGAAGAGAAGTGAGTGAACTTGACAGCCCGGCTACGACATCACTGACGAGGGCCTGAGACGAGAAGACGGGGGTGAGGGGAGGAGGGAAAGGGAGGGGGCGCGGAAGCAGAGGTGATGGGATGATAAGTATGAAGAAGGGGAAACGACAGGGCTTGGCCTGGGTTGACGGGGGTGGGTGGTGGTGGTTGTGAGGGTGAGGCGCCCGGCCACTCCTCGTCCCAATATCACGGTGCCAGTGCTAGATGAAAGGCCAATCAATGTCTGGGCGTCCAGAGTGTCCCTTGCCTGGCGAGCCCGTTTTTTTCGAGATGATCTGGTGGTCCAAGTTCAGATGGCGGCCCATGGGTTGATAGAAAGGGGGGTGCCATGCAGCATGGTGGTGGTGATGGTTGCGAGCCTCCCCGGGCTACAACGAAGACCTTCGGTCTCGGGGTCGGCGGTACCGCGTCGCGGATCGACGGGCGTCGTGGTACATGGCACATGGCTGGCCGATGCGCCGGGGAGGAAAGAGAAGCAAGGTCGATTTACCGTAGCGGTTTCATGGCCCCCTGGCTAACGTTTGGGCGCTGCGAAAGAGGAAGGCACTGGCCTCGTCTCAACCTGCCCCTAAAGGGCGCCAAGCTCGCACCATCATTGGCTGTTTGAGGTGTACCTGTGGGACCAGGGGTCGCAGCGTCGCGTCCACTTTCCCCTCTTCATTTGCCGCTTGCATCTCCTCCAGAGAAGGCCGAGAAGGCCAACGTCAAGTTGATTCCATCTGCTCGCTCCTCTCGTTTGCTTCCAACGATCAGCGAGCTCCGACCGTTTCAGAAGTCTGGGCCTAGTATCCTCGCATCTTCTTTCCCCAGCCAACGAATCTTCAGACCATCCCAGATCCCCTCCACGATGGCAGCTCGCGAGGTTTGCTGCCATTCTCCCCAAAGACGGCAGCTCCAGGCGAACCCCAGATCTTGACGTGTTTATGCACCGCAGATATCACCAGGGATGTCGGGTCCTATTGCTCTATCTATCCCACGGCCCGTCCGATGCGGCTCTTTCCTCATCTAGACGGCGCAGCCCTTTACCCTCGGCCGTTCACGTCACCACGTCATCCCATCGTGCATGCCGTGCAATGCATCCCTCTTTTTACACGACATGGTCTTCCATCGTCAAGACATCTTCCCCTCGTCTCCAGAACGCAAGCCTCCGATTTACCTCGGAAGGACGGCATCGCAAAACAGGGCAGCAACTCGCCTCCTACGCTGGCTGCGCATCAAGCGAGTCACGGCTATTTATGGGAGACCTTCCTAGTTGTTTCAACACACAGTGGCCAGCGGGTCGCGTCCGAGGCCGGCGCAAACGGTCTGTGGGCAAGGGGGTCCCGCGGAGTTGCCCGGTGTCCCGCCGGTCAAGCTTTGTAGGCGGGACCGGGCCCAGCTCTGGCCTCAGGGTCGTCGTCGGGGTTGACAAATTCCCAGTCAGCTTTCAATCGATCTCGGCACCCTTCAAGTCCCTCGGGAGACCACATTGATGCCGACAGCAACCTTGACTCAAGGCATTCTCCCGTCAATGGCAAGGCATGAACAGCACCCGGGTCGCGTCTCGAGTCATCTACCATGACATGCCGATCACACAGCCCTGCCGGCGAGCCTCCCTCAACGGTAGCCTAAACCCAATGTCCTGCCCTGAACGCATTATCGTTGCAGCCAGAGCGACGCCCGCAGAGGCCCGGATCGTTCATCCAGCCTCCCGTTCCCGCGCTGGCCGGGCTGCTCGACAGGGCTCACAGGAGCATCGCCTCGCCTTCCAGCCAGGGTCGACCTCTCTCCCCCATGTCACGATCAAAAAGTCCATCCTTCCGGGGCTGTGCGGTGACCGCAAGGGGGGACTTTGGGCAATGGGCGATCAAACAGAATCACCACCTTTAATAGCAGCCTCAAGCCCACTTTCACCTCCGCCTTTTGCATCAGACAAATACAGTCCCCGCCCTGGCAGCAACACAAAGCCCAGACAAGAAAAGTAAACTTGAAATCAACCTCGCGGCCCCGGTGACGACAGCAGGCCTCAGCGTCTATCCGCCCCGTCCCATCTCAACCTTGCCTCCCCAAATGCCGCGTTTCACAACCTCCATCCTCCTCGGCCTGCTCCTCGTCCTGGGCCTACTATCGGCATCATGCCGCGGCACATCCACCGCCCCGACAGACGCAGCCGCCGCCCTCTTCCCTGAAAGCCAAGCCCTCGACAGGCTCGACAGGCGCGTAATCATCAGGCCGCGCCCCCGTCCCGACATGGACCCGGACACCGGCGGCGGCGCTGGCTCATATCCTCCTTCCCCGGGCGGCCGTTATCCCGGCGACCCGCCGCCCTCTCGTGACAAGGACGACGACGACGACAACAACAGCGAAGTCCCCGACCTCCCCGACGGCGGCGACGCCGTGACGACAAAACCATCCGTCGCGCGGTGCACGACGTCCTGCAACGCCGCAGCCACCGGCACCTCCTCGTCCGAGACGACAACACCATCGAGCTCCCCATCGCCGACTCAGCTCCTCAACGCCAACGAGTCAGCAAGGCATGGCGCCCGCCTGTCGTTGGCACTCGCAGGGATACTCCCGCTGCTGGTGCTCCTTCTCGCATGAAGCGTCATGACTCTCAGCCGCGGGCAGATGAAGAAGGAGGCGTCTGGTGTTCAGCGTTGCAGTCTCGAGAGATACCCCCCCTGAAGCGTTCTTGTCAATTAAAGTTTTCGGGTCCCTTTCAACCTGCGGGAAGCGCGACGCAGCGCCCGTCGCTCTCGGAAAGAGACATCCGACGGTGCTACCTTATCCGAGTGACTCATCCCATTTTGCATTTCTCAGTTTAAGAGGAAAGAGCTTCCCCAGCTGGGTGCTCTTTCCGCTGTCACGCTCCTGCCCCGTGTCGCGGTCTTGGCTTTGCTGCCTGCCTTCCAAAATTTGGCCTCAGGTGGCAGCCCGCGGTGGATTGTGCCTGCCCGAGGCCAAAACCAGTGGCCCAAGCTCCCTCACCCGTCGTCCTATAAAACTCCGCCGCCCTCCTCGTCCTTTCGCCTTTTCCCTCTTCTCTTCTTCATACTTACCTTGTTCGGTTTCGGGGCGCTCAAGCATACCTCGGAGCAAGAGGGACGGCCTGCATTGCACATCGCGGAGTCAGCCCTCTTCGATTGCCCTTCGGGGCCATCGCGGGCGGAAT